GCCTCTCTTTCCTGAAATTTGCCCCCCCTTATTATTATTATTTTTTTTTATGATTTAACTATCTATAATGGATATTGGGATATAGTGGCCACATTCTTCCTGTTGGAGGAAAGAAGAAATTCTTTGCCCCGGTGCTGAGATACCTGCCAGAAAGCAGACCTCCATTCCTTGCCCCTTTAGAATGGTTTTCATCATAACAATAACACCTTGTGCTTCCTATTAAATTCTTCAACTTAGATCTGGACAACGCAGAGGTTATTTCAAGTCAGGACGACCTAAAAGTTCATTACAGGTAGAGAGTTCCCCATAGAGAGAGCTGCAGATTCCAAAGAGACAACACTACAGCTAGATTTGCCCTCTGCTTAGTCTTGTTTCCTTCCTTTTTTGTTCTGATGATGTTGATCCCAAATGTTCCCCTTAATGAACTTCACCTACGTATTTGGTTGTGGGAAAGCCATATTTGAGAAACCATCCATATCCTTTTCAGGGAGTGTTAAATTTTCATTCTAATTCCTTCTCAAAGCTTTCAAAGCATGTTAGCAGTTATTAATCCCACTAAAAAGTATAGAATATGCACACACTCTACACAGCTATTTAAAAATTTGCAGTGACTTCTGTATTGAATAACAATACAATTAGTATTGCATCATTATTTGTCCATTTGTTATGTCTGAAAGACAAGGTGTTATATATTATCTTATGCCTCTTTATTGTCTAGGAGACTACATGAGGCCTTAGAAGTTAGGTGACTCAATTTTGACACTCTTTTCAAGTATACACTTAAAAAGTATCAGGCACATAGTATGTGTGCAGAAAACAGTAATTGTTATTTCTATTATGATTTTTATAATACTATATATATGTGTATATACATATACACACAATTTTTGCTTTAATAACTATAAAGTTTACTGAGTCACAAACAGCTTTTATAATATACAGAGTCAAAAACTATTATGCCATTTATATCAGGAGAAAATTGAAGTTCAAAAGAAGTAACTTGTCTAAAATCATGTGATTATGTTAGCTAACATCAAACTATGTCTTTTTGAACACTGTCTCAATGTTTTCACACTTGTATATTCATTTAATTTTTCTTGTGTATGAGTAGGTTTCCCTTTGGTTTTAATTACACAACATTCTTTTTACAGTTTGCATGTGGAAATAATTAAGCTAGATGGTGGTAACACATATAAACATGACACAGTTTCTGATGTGGAAGATAACTGAAAATCCCCTAAGTTCCTTTTGGGAGAGATCACATTGTATAATTTTGCATCGTCTTTACTAACAATGTTAAAAAAAAAAAAAGTTGAACTGCTTAAATAATTTTAGAGTGAACAAAAATATAACAGAAAGAGGTAATAATTTTCAGTTATTGATCTTTTTTTTAATAACTTTATACTTTTGCAAACCTTTTGTGCACTACAGCACTTGGTCTGTGGAAGGTTTTTAATCAAAGTTACAATCTCATAATTGGATGAACAGCATGTTTCTCCTAATGGTCTAGAGTATGACTTACTGTCCTTCATATGGCAAAACTATATCCATCCTGAAACTCCAGATCAACTGGCATCTTTTTCTGTAACTCCTCTTTAACCACAGAAAGAAACCTATCTTCAACGCTTCTGTATTTCACTCAATATGTATTACATACAGTCAAGTGTACTATTATCACTTTTGTATGTAAGCACATGTCTGCTGCAGTATGGACTCACAACGAAGGACTGTTCTTTGCTTTCATGTCCTCAGCATTCCCTGATGGTGTTTCACACATTCAATAGTTAGTATGGTTGTCTGAATTAGTCTGTAAAAATAGCATTCAGAAAGGTGCAGTGGCAAGCACCTATAGTCTCAGCTACTCAAGAGGAGACACAGATACTCTCTTAAGAGGAGGACAATTTAAACCTAGGAGTTCAAAACCAGGGCAGGCACCAGTCTATCTCAAAAAAGGAAGACTAAACAAATAAAAAGTAGCAGTCAATAGTCCTTAACAATTTAAATAGTCCTTACTATTCCTATGTATTTGCTTAAGAGAGCCTTCAAATGTAAGAAAGAATGAAGATCATAATGCCATAAATCAAATGCATATGATTTCCTTTTCATTTACATAGGTAAAAAGTAACTCCAATGTACATAAGCTTGATGTCTGTGACACCCACCTTAATAATTCATATAATTTCTAATTATTAGAATATAATTTCTAATAAAACAACATCAAAAAATATGTGTTTCAGAAAATTCGGTCTTATGTACCAGAATATTCACATAGTATGCTTCTGTATGAGTCTCATCTTAAACTTAAAAGTATTGATTAAGATAATTCGTGACAGATAATAGTCTTATTGTTTATAGGTCAATCAAAAATCAATTTCTCCCTCCTTCAATGTAGTTCCAAAAGAAAAAGTATACACAGTATCTCTCAAGCACTGGCCAATTATTTTCTATCCTTACTCTTAATTTTTTCCAGACCCATGGAGATACACTTAATAAGTCTTTTTATACTAGGCATCAGTGGATTGCTGATGAAGTGAATCACCAAATATCCAGTTATAAATTCATAATCAAAGCAATGGCAGCATAAACTAGGTTTAAGTGATGCTGTTTGCTTCATGGAGAATGAGGATCTCAAAGATGATATAGGTTTTCTGGATAGTCATAAACTTGGACAAAATTCCAAATCATCCCTCCTTTTAAAAAGAAAAAAAAATATTGGTGTTAGGAGGAAATATATAAATGGAATAGAATGACATTCAACAATGTATGCCAATTTTTTCTATAATCTTTTAAAAATACCATTATGTAAAATCATAATATACTAATCAAATTATAATAAAATTATCACATAGACTGTCTTGTTTATGTGCTTCTTTTTTGAAAGTCAAAAAAGTTAGTATAAATTCATGGGTTTTAGCATTTGAGAGATAGTAGAGTCTAGGCAATCATGAATTAATATTTCATAATAAAAGTACATACCTAATTTTTTAACCCTTTTTTATATTTTTTCCTTTCTATAAAGTTGTTATGCTTATCACATGTACCTATTCTTTTTTTTGAGTTATAACTCACGAAGCACAAAATTCACTCATTTTAAGTGCATTATTCAATTTTTTTATATTTACAGTACTGTTATTTTCATAATCGAATTTTTTTTCATGTTTAAATTAACCCTCCAAAAGTAGCAAAGCAAAAGGGGAAAAAAAAGACCAAAACTACCAAATCTATTTTTTTTTTCTTTTCTTTTCTAAGTGTATATTAATCATACAGCACAATGGGACTCACTGTGATGTAGTTGTACCTAAGTTTGTTCCTACTCTGCAAAGCATCAACACTCAAAGATATTTTACCTTACTGTTGTGAAATGTTTGATAGGAGAAGTTAGGGAAAATCTATGACCTATTGAGCCCATGCTGTATTAACTTGAAAAATTAAGCAACAGACACTTAAGGAGCAAGAAGAGAGACCCAAAACAAAGGAAAATATTTTACAAACTCTATTTGTGGTATCAGTTTAATATCTTCAGGTCATATTTAAAAATTAAAAAATTACTTCTTGGTATTAATAGGAATAAAACAAAGTTATTCTAGTTAAATAGACCCAAGAGTTTCTATTAATGCTTCCAAAAGATAGCCCTAAAGTCAATGTCACAAACCTAGAATGCTTCAACCCACTCACTATAAATTGATGATGACAAGTTTCAATATAATGCAACACAGGTAAAAATATCTACTAACAAAAGCATCTTAATAGAAAATCATGTAAATACCATTGCAAAATGAATAAGTTCAGACGTCAGTTAACTCATCCTCAGCTATTTCTTTTGTTGAGTTACTAAAATCCTAAGTTTCTATGTTTGATCTCTGCTCTTACATGGGAGATCTGATGTGAAACAGTCTTTTAAAATAAATATCAGAATGAAACCTTTAGAATAAGAACCCACTCATCTGTCCATGAGAAAATACAGTCTTCTTTTTGCAGATGTAATTTAAAGAGGCAACATTTTGTTAAAATTGGCATAGAAATGAAGACTAGATTAGTACTTGTCCAGGAATTTGGGATAATACTGGTCGGTTTAAGATTGACAGCCAAAGACCAAGAAGACCTCATGATAAGCCAAACCAGGATGCCCACACAACTCCTACTCTAGTCTAGGTCCAACTTCACTTAAGACAGTAAGACAACACTTGGCTACATCTACTACAGAGCCTCATCCTTCAGCCACAAGAATTTTTCCAAAGATTGAGAAAGGTTGATTTCTGAAACTTGCTGAAGTAATAAGGATTTTCTGAAGATTAGGAAGTCTCCTGATTCTGAAACTTCCTTCCAAGTGTGTATTTCCCTGAAAATGCTTAACCACAACAAAGAATGACTAGGGAGAACACCTCAAATTCCAGTAAAAAAATAAAAACTACTTTATACTAAGCTACACGTTCACAATTATCATTACCATTTCTTTGAAACCCATATATCTGCCAAGTACTTATTCCAATATTGTGGACATTCATATGATCACAAATCTACTGATGAACTTAAAATCCCCTCATGAATATTTAAATGCAGGCTTGTCATATATTATAAATATTATATTCTATGCAGTAAAATAGGGCTTATTAACATTATGTGAGACAGTAAGCCAACTCTTTTCATTATTCCTAATTATATGTAGATTATGATTATAAGCAGGTAAAAATGTGAGAAACATCCCTTTACCTCATTTTGACCAATATTTTCACTTTTCTCTAGAGCTTTCAAAAAAGTTGTTTGATTTAATAGCAGTCTCAACTGGTTTACAACTTATCCCCTTTTATTTCTCAGGCAAGATCTATGGAGATGTTAATGAGTACAGTAATGGCTTAATAGGCAACAGGAGAAAAACTTTAAAGGTGTAAATAATCAACCAGCTGAGAAATCAAGCAGTGTTAAGTAAATATACAAGCTAGAAACCCTATTTATACAGTCATACACATTGCTCATTCCATAAAGACAAACACAAAACATACCTGCTTGACCCGTGGTGATGCTAACAGCAGCAAAGAGCCTCTGGGATCGGCTCAAGTCAGAAACTCCGTTCACAGCTTCCACTTCAAAGGTGTAATTGGCATGGGCTAGCAGGTCCATGACAGTGACGTAGTTATCCTCTAATCCAGTCTGCTGGGGCATGTACCCAATGTTACTCCCACAGGGCACACATTCGCCCTGCTCCCAACTGCATCGCTTACACAGTATCCTGTAGGTGACATCGTTCCTTCCCCCATTGTCTGCAGGAGGACTCCATTCCAAACTTACTGTGGTTTGGTTGATGTTGAAAATGAGGTTCTGTGGTGCAGATGGAGGCCCTTTAGAAACCAAAAGTAAATTACAAATAAACAAAAATAGAGAAAACAAAATGAACAACAAAATCTATGTGGGACTATTAAGCTAGTGGCCCAATTACCAAAGAGGAAACTAGCTGAAATGCTTTCTTTCACAATAAACATTTCACTACCTTTACTAGAGAAGCTATATAAAAGCCTCCTTGAATTCACTTGGCAAGAGACTTTATTTATTTTCCATTTAATATGTCAAAATGAAAACAGGATAACAACTGTCTTTGTACTTTTGCCACAGTCTTTAGCTATTTTTCTTCCAAGCAATTAAAAAAAGAACAGTTAAGGCACCTAGAAAAACAGTTGTGCAGTTGTTCAAAAATAGTTTTCCTTTTAACCGTATAACAGAAAAAAATATTTATTCATTCATAATGTGCTCAGGAATAATTTATAGTAATGTGCAGGACTGGCTTTGGATTTGGGCCTCTAAAACACTCTTAATAGAAACACCAATGTGCGATTTGCTCTATTTAGCAATGTGATTTTAATTCAGAAAACATTAATTTTAATCACATTTCATATACCTTCAAGGCTCTAAGAACTTTTAATTTTATGATTTCTATTAAGTACATGTGAAAATGTTATAAAAATATATCCTAATTTTGGAGAAATGAATACTACATGGAAAATGATATGATATACCTATTTTATATTACTTAACTTAGTTCATGAAAAGTTTCCAGAATATTTAAGAACAGTTAACAAATTTTTTTACAAATTCAATAGCTTTTTCAGTCATTTCACAACTAAATGGAAGGGCTCTGAAAGCCCTTTATTAATTTCACATCATGAACTTACTTGTGCATGCAACATACGGTGGATCAGATGGAGCCCTATAATACCCATCTTCACATTCACACCTGGAGGATCCTTCTCGATCAGAGGAACTGTGGGTCGGGCAACGAGAGCACTGAAGATCTTGTGAGGAAGATTTGTAGAACCCACGGCCACAGGCTGGGTGAGCAAGAGAAAGTGAAAATAGGAACATAAGAGTAAATAGAGTGTTTAAATAAAATAGAGACATTTAGCCAAGAATAAAGTATCAAATTTGTTTTATAAAAACAAGTTTTTCAAGATATGTTTTAGTATTTGTCAATAACTCAATGTTATAATACATCTTAAAACAAAATAATGGAAACAAAATGATACAGCCAAACTTGCACCTTTACTTGGCAATAGTCCAAAGTCTACAGTGCAAAACTGAACACTAGCCTAATTTATTTAGAGAAAATCTTAGAATATTTACTGCAGATATTTAAGTCAAATTTAACTTTGATTTCAGCAATAATTGATTCTGTCAGTCTACACTAGCACATTCAAAGTTATGTTTCCTTAGTCTCCTATAGCTGTAAATTAAATTATTAAGGTGTTAACTTGGCTTGCGTTAAAAAATACTAGTATAATATTAATTAACAAAGTAGTAATAAGATGTAAAATCTTTCACCTAAATATGACAGATCTATCTGTACCCAACTTCTCAGGAACTTTGAGATATAATTTCAACCATCAAGTTATCAAGCAGGCTGTTTTCCACATGTGAGTGGCTTTTGTTACAAAAGATAACAAAATCCTATGTCTAGCAGATGGCTAAACCACCAGAAATAGGGAAAGTCATCCATGCTAGAGATATAATAACCTTTTCTCTCCTGTGCTAAGAGAGGTTAAGGGTTTAGTCACATTGACCCAGCAACTGCTCTTAGCAGTGAACTGAGATACTGATGTTTGCCACCTCCTAATGAAGCTGCTCATACTTACTTAGATTTTGATATTAAATTAGCTATCCATGTATTATTTCATATCCCTGCATATTATGTATGTATGTTTATCTTCAATTAAAAATTAAGCATGTTGAATTTTTTCATTATTTTTTATTTTATTAGTTGATGATATTCTACACTGAATATATTAAATAAATTTGGTATACCCTTAATGTTTATTAAATGAATATCTATTTAAGTATTTGTGATCATCAATTTTAATAAAACAATAAATCATATCCACAAAGAAGAGGTAGTGAATATTTTTTAACAACTCAGTTTTAAATTTTAACTTATTATTGGCAAGTTTATTTAATGTCCTTTACTTGGGCACTAGTCAGAAAATTAATTAGATTTTCACTCTTATAGGGTGGGAAGTGGGAAAAATCCTATCAATTTTTTGAGATGAGATAAGATGGCATAATATCCAGAAAAAATGTTAGTCATTCTTTACTTTTGCTTACATGTTGAATAATTAATACATAATTCTAATATATCTGAGAGCTCAAAATCATTATTTATGCTCTAAGAAGACTATTTTACATGATCAAAGTTACATAACTTAGAGAAATTTAATTAAAATGAGTTATAGTGTGATAGATAACATAGATATATAGCTCTTAGATACATAGACACTTAGATATGCAGAACTACCACCACTTCATTGTAAATGCATAATCCAGTGCTGTGATCAGAAGCCACTTTGCTAACTACCTTTTGTTGGCTTCTCAAAATTCATACAAATGTATAACAATTACAAACAAATTAGATGAAGAAGCATCATGCCTCTTCACATATTCTCAGTAGCAATTACTATAAATCTAAGAGAAAATAATTAGATAAATTATAAAAATACGATAACAAAACTATAACACCTACAGATGGGATCTTGCCACATTAGAGACTGGTTAAGGGGAGGGACAAAGGATTTGGCTAGATTTCTCAAGATGAAAAATCTTTATTCTTTAAATATCCATCATATCTTATTTTATGTATTATCTATATTCAAAGATTAAAGATCCTGTGCCAAAGGTCAAAGATCCTATGCCAAAAATCAGAGAAAGTAATGCTTTACTTACAACCTGAAGTTTGAAATTTTAAGGTCTGAGAAGTAAAGGAGACACAGAACAGAAACAATGAGAAAAAAAAAGAAAAGATACACCATGTGTGTATTTTATTAGACTATATGTGTATTTATTTATTTTTTAGGGAGGTTAGGGAGCAGAGAACCAGGGAACCACAATGACAATATGATTTGACATTTATTAGGTAGGTTTCCACAATTAGTATGAAGAAAACTACTGCTTTCCAATGGAATCACCAATAAAAGCCTCTTAGTAAAGGCAACTGCAAGTCTCCATTTTCCCAATGAATTAGGGAGTTCATTTAATGTTTAACTTAAATGATTTCAAAAATATCTATGCACACATATATGCATATATATTCCATATATGTGATAACTACTGTTGAGAAATATGAAACTTTTATCACTCAATTTTCCAATTACATTAAATTTTCTTCTCCTTTTAACAGATGGGAATACAAATTTGAATAAAAAGTAACCTGAGTTCTTCAAATAATTCCACATGACTATGTTAAAATTGGATTTAAGACACAGAACTACTGACAACTATAAGCTATTCACTATAGAATCAGCCAAATTTTGGCATTTATTTAATGGATATCAAGGGCTTTGTAACTCTAAAATAATTTTCAATGAATTTTTATTATCTTTTACCATGCATTTCCACTAATTTAAAAGCTATTATTTTAACTTAGAAAACTATAAAATAATATCCTGGCACACCTTAAGAAGTGCTATTAAATAGGCATTCTCAATTCTACCATGAATTTTGGCACTGATTACTACCTGCAAAATTATGGAGTACATGTGCAGCTATCATTAAATAGACAATAGCAATACCAGAAAAGTCTTGAACTTTTTTTCTTTAAAGTAATATTCTGTTTCTGTTGAGTTAATATAGAAAATTATAAGTTGTAATGAGCCAGTTTTCATTTTAACCTCTAAAGAAACTACCAATTCAGAGTTATTAAAAATAAGTACAAAACTTTGGAGCAGGAGTATTAAAAGTGAAGCCAAGAAGATGTGAAGACAAAAGCTGAGTCTCTTAGGATAATACTGAGCAATTGGGTGGTAGGAGTCTTGGGAAGCAAGTAACAGATGTTCTTAAAATTAGAAATTGTGATAAGATATCCACACAAAAGAGCTTGAGGCCAATACTCAATGAGAGAAACCGGGTGAAGCGGCGTATCTGAGAGCCATGCACATAAGGAAGCATTAGATCAGCTCTCCAACTGAACCAAAAAAAATCTTCATGGAAATCCAGGCAATTTCTCCCCTGTATAAATGCAGCAGGTTTTCTAGAAATTATTAGGAAAAAGTCTTGAGAGGTAAATGTCTTCCAAATCCTCAAAGATAAATTCCCTTTACATGTAATTATTAAGTATATAAGAAAAACTTTCTAGGAATTGTTCAACAGCAGCCTTACAAATTTTTCATCCTTTGCTGTATTTCTCAAATTGCTCAAAGCACTTGGACTTGAAGCAACTTTTAATTGATGTAGCACACTCACGACAGTAAAGTAAAATAAGAAATGTAACATTTCAATTTCCTGCCTTTGGATGCTTTTTGATTTTTTTAATCTACATATTGTTTTAGTATTAACATTGTGCTATATTGATGAAAATTGGGAATATGTATGGAATTTCTTTCAAATATTTAATTACTTTTGTAAAAAAAAAAATATCTCCCCCCTGTTATATAATAATACTATCTTTCTGTGTAAACACAAAGGCCTGACATTTACATATTTGGTTGTTCTTTAGTCTTTGGGGCCTGAATACATAAAATAAATTTGTTATTCCAGAGCCACGAACTGTAATCTTGTCAGATTTCACATGGTAAGCAAGTTACTGCTTATTCTGTTCTTTAAATGAAAAACCATAAAAAAGGGGTAGAGAGAGAATCTAGGAAACACGTGAAACTTCTGTATAATAGACAGTAACAATGTCATCCACTATAATATAATCTAATATACTTCATTGTAGCACACTAAAAGATCTGCAAGATTTACTGTGAAAAGTATAGCTTATTATGATTATATTATACTATTTCTAAATAAGAATACCTTGTCCTTATATAACTGAATTGATTCAAGTAATATTTGGGATTTAAATTCTTTATAGAAGAAAACAAAAGGCAAGAGAGTTTCCCTTAATGGCCTAAGAATAATAATACTGCACCAAAATTCTGAATGCAAAATATTTAGTATGTAAGAAAACTTCCACTAAAAGTTTGTATGATAATTCTCTATTGAATTCTTCTAACAATCCTATATTCCACCTTCAATGTTATTAAAGGTTATTGCCTTCAATGCATAACAAGTATTAAAATGACAGCTATCTGGCCTCAGAGTCTGTAAAGGCTTCAGGCAGTCAATTGGACAATCATGGTACTGTCACAACTACTCTGTTCTAACTGAACAATCTAAAGACCATCTGAAAAGCTGCATAGTAATTTCCAATCATCTGGGGTACATAATTAGGTAAAATTAATCATCCCTTCTAAATGCAGATGCAAATAATCAGAGGTTCCCTGGTTCATATGGGTAAGCTTGGGTGACATCCTATGTGATTATTATTTCTAATGATTCCCTTCCCACAGTATTGTCCTAAAAATTCTATGTAATTGTAGATTTCTTATACAGTTAAAACAAAAATTACTTGCTGGTACTCAACAGGCTCTCAATTTTTAAAAATCTTAAGCTTCAACTTTTATTACCAACATCCTTGTAATTATTCTGGACAAGAGTACTCTGATTATCTATATCTTAGTTGGCTGTTCTCCATAGCTTCCACATCAGTGAATCTTTGAAAAGGCATTATTGGCTGGGTGCTGTGGTATATGCCTGTAGTCCCAGCCCCTCAGGAGGCTAAAGCAGGAAGATTGCAAGTTCAAAGCCAGCTTCAGCAACTTAGCAAGACACTGTCTGAAAATGAAAAATAAAAATAACAAAGGGTTGGGTATGTGGCCTACAGGTTAACTGCCCCTGATTTTAATCTCCAGTATGTGTGTGTGCATGTGTGTGTGTGTGTGTGTGTGTGTGTGTGTGTATATATATATATATATATATATATATATATATATTATTTTGACTCAATATTAATCATTAAATC